GAACGAACGAACGAACAAATAAATAAATAAATAAAATGCCGAAAAGAAAGACGTGTTGGCACCAGGCGAGCCTCTCAGTCCAGGCTTCTGGCTGGGTGCACTTGCCACAAGTGAGGTGTAGCGGTGAAGAGCCCAGGGCCGCAGCCCCGGCGATCTGGGTTCTAGTCCCCACTCAGCCACGGAACTCACTGGGTGCCTTTGGGCTAGTCCGAGACTCTCAGCCCAGCCTACCTCACAGGGTTGTTGTTGTGAGGATAAGGTGGAGAGAAGGCAGATAATGATGTAAGCCATCTTGGGTTCCTTGAAAAGAGAAAAGGGTGGGATGTAAATACAGCAACGAAATAACAGATCAGCCATCGTAGAAGCACTGCCGGCATCTCGGGGCAGCGCGTTCTGGTCTCACCGGGCTTTGTGATGGGAATTGGGCCCTGCCAGCAAGTATCTGGGGCTAGGGAAGGACTGAAACAAGCCCTGGGACCCGGCAAGCGCCGGCCAGGCAGAGCCGCCGAGGATTACGGTCCATCTGGCCGCATCTTGCTGTAATAGCCCGTGCCCTTCCTTGCAGCCGCTGCAGGCCGTGGAGTCCACCCTCAATCCCTAATCCCTAATCCCCTCAGCACGTTCCCCTCGGCCCCTGGAACTGGGGCTGGCGCGGCCTCTTCTGTGCTCTGGCAGCAGCCTGTGTTTCCTGGAAGGGCCATGGGGAATTGGTGGTCGGCCCAGCTCTCGCTTCGCCACCCTCCCACATCTGGGATGAGAGCACAGCTGGGGCTCCTCCGATGCTCACAACAGCCCCCCCGAAAGGAAGCCTAAGGGAGGTACTCTGGATGCAGATGTGACAGACAGGTGGCGGGATCCACGGGGATTTGGCAGTCGGAGCCGTCGCTGGCTTTCGAGTGGTGATTTGGGGAACCCCCGGAGTTCATCCATACTTCTTGGTAAAGCTGCGTGTCTTCTAAGTTCCCATGGGTGGAACACACAATTCGGCTAGGAAGAACATGGGGTTTTCAGAACCATCAGTAAGAATTTGCTTTGCAATGATGCTAGCGCAGGGCTTGAATGCCCGATCTTTGCGCTTTGCTGTTGCCATAGCCATAAAATCAGTATTATTTAAGATTATTACCCTTTACAGCTACCATTGAAACTTCTGTCTCTGTTTGCTTGTGCTGTAAAGTGCTGTACCCTGTTTATTGTAAGACCGTCCCGAGACCTCAATAGCAGACGAAATACAAAAGTTTTAGGAGGGAGGGAGGGAAGGACAGACAGACAGACAGAAAGTCCTAGCAATAACATTTGCTCCCCGTAACAGGATGGTAAACCTGATAAATAGAATAGCAGAAGGTCCTTCTCAGGAAGAAAGTGTGTTTCCAGGAGTGCGATGGACGCGGGTTCTTTGAAAGCATGACTGGGGGCAGGCCAGATCTGCAAGCCGAGAATCCGCGGTTTAAGAGTGTGTGATCCATTCATATGTGCAGGAAGAAGCAAAGCCTGCCTGGAATGCTGTTTGCTCCAGCGTCCTCTGCCGCTGGCGCAGGTTCCCGAAAAGCCGCTCTTCCCCCCAAGTCATTTGTGCCTTTCAGGACGACTGTGGATTGTCGATCTTTGCACCTGCCAGGTTTTTGCTGTGCCTGCCGAGTTTCACGCCTGCCCCTCTCCCACTTGCTCTTCCCAGGAAACGCCGGGGAGCCATCAACAGCAAGCAGCTCACGTACCTGGAGAAGTACCGGCCAAAGCAGCGGCTGCGCTTCAGGGATCCCCAGAACCACAAGAACAAGTGCTGCATCATGTAACCTTCGTCATAGCCTCTTGCCAAAGCCCACCTCCAGGGGAAGGCAAACACACGCCCGCCCGCACCCGTGTGAAGTCACAGGAGGGGGCTTTGGTGCCACAGCCTATTCTGCCGGTCAGCTTTCTCTTAAGTTTTGCCGAAGGCTCGGGAGAAAGCCCTGCAACCGGCTGTATTTGTTTCAGAGGCTGGGAGCAATGTCAGTTTCTCATTCCCCTCCCCAGATGCTCCTCCGGGGAAGAGCTCTGTGCCCCGACGTCCAACCCCCGTGCCGCCCCTCCTCAGTTTCCCCTTGTCCTGCAGGGTTCAGAGAGGCAGGATGAGGCCAGCAGCTCCGCATCTTCCAGGGCAGGGGGGAAGCCCAGGCAGCAGCCGCCGCCGCCGCAAGGGTCTTGGGCCGGACTGGTTTCTTTTGTAGCCCCAGTGCAGGATGCCAGCATGGTACCTCCCAGCCTCGCTTCCCCGTAACCTGTGCAGCTGAGGACCCCCCCCCCATGCCAAAAGCAGCCCCTCCGTCCTGCGGGACGGCTGCGCACGGCACTCTGCAGCTGGGAGTGCAGCCACCATCATGATGGGGGTCTGGCTTGCGAGGTGCCATTCCAGTGGATTCCCACCCTCTGACTCGTAGCTGTGACACACCTTCCCCCGTTGGCTGCTGTGACCTTTGGGCTAAACTCGCAGAGAGGAGGTGATCTTTCCCCCTTCATTTGGAGAGTCTGGATGGTGTGATCCGTATTCGGCGTGAGGAGGGGAAGGCCAGTCTCCCTAAAGGTGCCACGGTTGAGTTCTGAGTTGTCGGTTTCCCAGCTCCGTGCGCGCAAGTTGCTGCCTTCTCGCGGGAAGCCATGCATCTTCCGTCCTTGCCGCTACCTTGGAAAGACTCCCCAGCTTCAGACGCTATTCGGGAAAATGCTTTGCATGTCAGTGCAAGGAAGAGGCAGGGGTGGGGTTCCGCTAGGGACTTCGTCTTTGGGCTGAGAACAGAAGGATTTGGAAGTGGGCACGTTCTGGTTTGGCAGGGGAAGTGCGGATGGGGCAGGGTGCGTGCAGCCGGGGGCAGAGCTGTGTGGAACGTGGGCTGCAAGAGCCAAAGATCGTGCTGGCTGGGGCTGATGGGAGTAGCGGTGCTCCGCTGCTGGAGGTGCAAGGCTGAGGACAGCTGGTGTGTACGTTGGGTCTGGATTTGAGAATGAGAGTCGGGGGCTACACTTTGCCCCATGCTGGGTCCTCAGAGGCTTCGGGACTTCTGCCGTTTGTGGGATTCGTGGAATAAGTTGATTTGAGGGTCCTGCCCCCCTCCACCCACCCACCTGGCCTTTTGAACCCTATGCTTTTGAACGAGTGAGCAGTGCCTCCTGGGGAACTCGGCGGAATTGGCGCTAGCCGCTTGGCCCCACTCCTTTGGCCGTGACGGCCGTGGTCTCGGCTGCCAGGAGGAGCCCCCGCCGTGCACGTCGCGTGCCTGTCTGGCGCACGCTCGGTGGGCTCAGCTTGTGCTGCAGGGAACGCTCTGCTCTGCTCTGCTCTGCGTCTTGAAGCGCTCCATTGGCCTGCAGTCCCTCCCTCGTGTCCAGGCCATCCTGTTGCCACTCGGTGCTGCAGCTGCCTGCGTTTCCTCCCTGGCCCCTTCCTCCGTGGGCATTTCTGTGCCTGGCTGCTGCTTTAACAGCGACCTGCCAGAACGGCCTGGTGCATTGACAGCCGCCCCAGGCAGCCGAGGCCGGCTCTTCACCGAGGTGCTTGGCCTGCGTCTGGACTGCACAGCACTGGCATTGCAGTGGGTTCTTTTTCAAAAAAGAACAAGTTTGATGCATGTAGTATTATTTATGTCGCTTATTAATTTATGGCGATTCTTGGCCACCTGGAGAAAGTGGGCGATCAGCGGAAGAAATACTCTGGATCCATAAAATAATTCCATCCGTGTAAAAACTGGCATCTTTGTGCAGCATTCAGGTGCCTGCCCTTCTCTTGGGCATCTGATTTTCTGAGTGCGTCTGGCTGCACAAGCCTCCTCCTGCAGTGCGGTGGGCACAGTCCATGCTCTGGCTTACTCTCGCACGCGAGCTAAGCCAGCTGGGGAAAGAGATGCATGACGAGCTGAGCGGGGTCCCAGTCCAGGCCGTGGGGGTTGAGGCTGAGTGGTTCTTCGCCCTGCTGTCTGTGATAAAGACTGTGATGGAGAAGAGGCATCTGTGAGCAGGCTGTGGAGAAGGGTGCTCTTGTAGCATTCAGATCTGTGGCAGAGGAAAGGGACAAAGAAGAAATGTATTTGGAGAGGATGGGGAGCTTGGCCTAGGAGAAGATAGGCTAACTGAGCTTTTCTGGCTCTTTGTAGGTTGTAAGGAGGTCCCCAAGGCTCCCCGAACCTTCGTTGTGTGGCATGGTCCTTTTCTCCAGGAGACCTAAGTGGAATCTTGAGCACCAATCCTTCACACTTCTATTAAACATACCAGACATGTTACCGGAGGCATTTTTGGCTTTTCCAAAGCTAGATCACTGAGTGGTTCTCTGGTGCATAAGCTAGAGCACAGGTGCATTGGAGACTTGGCTGTGGCCTTCCAAGCCGGGATCACATCTCACTCTGGGGACCCTGCTCTTCCTGAAGTCCCGGGCTGGGAAAATCACGGGACAGCCTTGGAAGGACCCTCCCTTAAAGCAGTGAAGGCCCCATCCATGGGATGAGTCTCTGAGCGAGCCCTCTGGGAAAAGAAGGCACTCGCTGCCCGTGCCTTGTGACCCACGGAAAGCTGCTTTCCACAAAGGTGGGCATTGCCTTCTTTGGACGGCCAGAGGCCCTCCCAGATTTTGGGCACGGCTCTTCCCCAGCCCTCTTACCTATGATGCCACCAGCAGAAGTGTCGGGGATCGAAGCCAAGACCTCCTGCCTGCAGCAGCTGTGTCCTGCCCCCCCCCCCGTCCCCCACGTTGCAGTTTCTCCCCGTTGATCAGGGCACCAGATCTCATGACATGGCAGGCGCAGCCTTCCTTTGCCTCTCAAGCAAGTCCTTTTTCCAGGAAAGGACTCTTGGTGTAGGACTGTCTTCTCCAGATGCTTTGGACCAGTGCAGCTCCCCTCGACCGTTTTCTGCTAATGCTGGTTGCAGAGGGTTGCAGTCCAAATCACCCAGAGCAGCGGTGTCCAACCTTTGCATAGCTGGGGACCAGTGAAGACAGGAAAACCACTCGGGGACCGCTGAGGCTGAAACAAAAAGCATCATACAATACATAATTCTGTGTATGAGTTTTCCAACACAATACGAAAAATTCTCCAAAACCACCAGAAACTGAGCAGCAAAAACTGCCAGCAAAAGATCAAAATATTGAAATCGGTGCAGCGTGGCTCCCACGGAGTGTCTCTCCCCTCCCTGGTCCCTCCAGTGGCACCAGTGCACACCCTGCGGGCACGATGCCAACTGGGGAAGAGGTGGTGGGGCACAGCCAGCCCCCATGCAGGGAGCGGGAAGCGGCCCTCCCATGGACTGGCACTGGTCCACAGACTGGCGGTCGAAGACCGCTGCTCTAGTGGGTGCCAAGCACAGAAGACACCGTCCTTCCCCCACCTGCCGCACTTCCCCCAGAGGTGAAGTTTCTGGTGCCCCTTTCTCCTGGGCAGACCAACGAAGGGGCTCTCCCTTCCTCCTGAGTTGGCGCATTCAGCAGAATGGCTCAGGGCTGGACTGACCACTTAGCCTGGAGCCGGGCTTTGGGTGCTGTCGGCTGTCCCCTCCTAGCCGCACTCCTTCCTTCCCTCGGCTGCTTCCAGCTGCAGCCTCGAGGGCATTTTCACTGCCTTTAGTTGCCCCTTCCTGGGGCAAAATGCTGTCTTGCTCAGGGCCAGCCCACCTGTCCTCTCTCTCTGCTCCCTTGAGGCCTCATTCTCCTGCCTCTTGATGGAAAGCTCACCTGGGGCCTTGCCTCCATGAACGGACCTGCCCTCTGGACTTCATTGCCAGAGAGAGAGCGGCGTACTGCACGTCACCTCTCTGAATTCGTTGTCCCAACACTGTCTCCTCCGCTCGGGAAACCAGGCCCCGGCACCTCTTCGGTTCCTCCCATGGCTCTTCCCAGCCGGAGAACGAAGAAGGTGAGCTGGCCCAGGATGCTTCCCCAGGCGATGCTTCTGATTCTTGAAGGACGCGTAAGGCAACAGATGGGCCCAGCTTCTCTCCCATCGCAGTGCAGGTCAAATCCAGCAATGCTCCTGGCAGCGTGGATCTCACTTCCTGGGAGGAGAACCGCAGACCCGGGCGAGCCCGCACGTCGCCGGGCGTTTCGCTCTTCCATTGTGCCACAGCACTGAAACTTGCATGCCGCTTCTTGCAAATGTTGTGCAGCAGCGCACTGGCACCGGGGAGACGATGTGGTCTGTGTGCACTTCGCACTAAAAGCCGGCGATAATTTCATACCCGTGCAGTCTAAGCGATGTGCCAAGCAAGCCGGCGTTGCATGTTTTGTGTGGCGAGGCAAGAGGAGAACGTGTAGAGACAGAACGGATTTTCAAGCATGCTTTCCGGCAAGGTCTTTGAAATGGCTCGTTTGGCACAGCAAAGTTGTCGGTAGCTCTCCGGCATGGGTGACGGCTTTGCCTTGACCATTGAGTCGAGAGCTTTCCCCCAGATGCACCAGTCAAAACAGGCCATCAAGCATCCCCAGGATGGCTCTCCATGTTGCAAAAAGCTGCTTGCTGTGTCCTTTACAGCTTTGCTGTGCATCGACACAAGAGCTCTCTCTCTCACAAACTCACAGCTAATGGAAGCAGGCTCTTTGTGTGTGGTGTTGCTCATGTCATTTGCGTGTGGGACTCCCAGGCAGGGGCTGATCTATGTAGGAAGCGGCTCTGTGGACCAGAGTTCCCCAGAGAGATTAAAGCACCTTAACTCCTGGACAGATACATTGTGCTTTGCCCCGGTAAACTCTGGCCTTCGCTGTTCTGAGAAAAGTTTCTTAAATTTGAGCTGCGGACGATCTCTCAGCTGTAGAACGCATGCCCTGAATCCCAGAAATGTGGTGCTTTCTCTTTAAAGCAAAAGTTTCTTTTCGGTATTTGCATGCCCTGGCTTTATCGGGCTGCTGAAATCCGGGCTTCTATTTTTAAATCAGGGCTGCACCTCCCTCACCGCAGAAGGTTTTCTGTTGACTGTCTGTGTACATTGCTCCGTGAAGTACCCACCACTTTGTTGAGCGGGGTACGATTTCCTCTACCAAGAACTCGGAGGTGTACCCAGAAAGTCACGGGGTGCCGACATGTGATTTACATGCAAAGTCAGCCAGTTGGTGCAATGCAAAGCTCTTATTTCCAAAAAGCAAATTTGGGTGTGTGTGGCGGTGGGGGCTGGGGGAGACTCAGCCAGTGCAAGGAAACAGGCCAGTTTTGCTTCTAAGACGACACTGAGGTGGAATTTCTGTTTCTATTTATTATGATTTCCACATATCACCCCATTCCCGTAGGTTCTGGGTGGATTGTAAGTGATTAAAGCCAGCAGTAATTCAGTATTTAAACTAAAAACAAGCCGATTGAATCAAACTAATCTGGGAAGGCCTGTTGGAAGAGATGCATCTTTAACTCTCTCTCTGAAGGTCGCATCTCTCCCAGAAGGCCATTCCACAGTTTAGGAGCAACCATTGAGAACATCCTATGGATACTTGACATTAATCTTGCAGAAGCAAATTTCAGAAGATGGTCCCCAGAGGACCTTAGTAGCTGAAGTGGAATATATGGGCAATATTTTTATTTATTTCTCCTTGTAACCAATGCAGCAGAATCAAGTGTCGGCGCTTTTCCTGGCATTCAAAGTGCCAGGAAACGTGTACACAGAACAGGCTCCCTGCAGGTAGACAGCTAGCCCTTCAGGAAGAGGAAGCCCAACTTCTCACGCTGCACAATTTCCCCCAGTGGAGCATTTAACAAAGTTTTTTGCTCTTGGCCCCGAATGGTGCAGCCTGAGACAGGGATGTACCGAATGCTGCCATCTTGGGTAGGGTTGCCTGGAGGTAGGTGGTGACCCCGAAGCACCATTTAGCAGCCGTTGCGTCTCCTGAACCCTGCCAGGTTTTAATGAAAAGGGCTGCTCACGGGTTCTCTTCCAAGGAAAGAATCATTCCGTGTGCATCTGTGTTCCACTGCCAGTTTGCTTGCTGAGGGGTTCTTTCAGGAAGAGTCTTCCTCGGCACCCTCCTTTCCCTAGTCCACCACCACCTCCTGGCATGGGTGCGCACACTTTCCGCACCGTTTTTTCCAGCCCTGATTAATGTCCGGAGAAGATCCCTCGGAGGCTGATACGCTTTTCTGCTCGTGATGAGGTGGGGGGAGAATTTGAGGCCAAACCGGCCAGAAAAAGTGTTTTTTTATCTATTGTGCATTCAGGGGGTCTCTTCAAAGGCGCAGGCTCCAAATTTTCTAAAAGGCCCTTTCTGAAACTCGTGTGCTTCCCTAGGCCACACACACCTTTGCAAAATCTCTTGGGTCTTCTTTCTTTCTGTAATTCTTCATTACACGGAAATGTCTTCAGACTGGTCCAGCTGAAACATCAACATGCCAGCATTTTTAATAGCCTTATAGTGTGGGAATCTTGAAGCTAAAATAAAGTAAAAGTTTTTGTGTAACCTTTAGCTGGAAGAAAAACGTATAAAAGGAAAAAAATTGCAATGCCTCTGTGTTTTGTGTGTGTGGGTGGACGCTTGTTCTGTTTTTCTTCTCCCAACGATGGCAGAACAAAGCCGGTTGCGTCTCCTTTCACAGCCCTCCAGGCTCAGGATCAAAGCCGAGGCTGTGGGAATCCCAAATTCCCGACGTCTGTCCTTCTTGGTTCTTTTCTCATCCCACATATAGCCATGTCCAGGAATGTGATTTTGCACGTTGTACAGAACAGGAGGGCTGCTCCCCCGATCAGGATTATGGGTGGCATCCGTGTAAGATGGTCCCCAAAGGACCCAGAGTAAGTGGGGAGCATGGGTGAGTCATCCCACCCCAGGGAGGGAGGGAGGGAGGAACATGGAAACAGCGCGAGTCAGAAGGGACCTCCCGGGCCATCTAGTCTGACCTCCGGCACCAGCCGGCTCCGCTCCCGACATGCCCGCCATGTGCACGTCCAGCCTTGGAAGAGTCTCTTCCGAGCGGCACTCAGCGGAGCGTGGCCCAAGCAACCCGGGCAGGTGGGCCCTGTTCCGCCTCCGGGGTTGTGCGTTCCCCCCTACTCAGGCCCGTCGCAGCTCAATTTCCCTGCCAGTTGAGGTCTTTGGAACAATGATCCCCGACCTGCTGGCTGGGGCATGCTGGGAGCTGGAGTCCAGCACAGCTGGAGGGTGGCGGATTGGGGAACACAGAAGCTGCTCCCAGAAGGGAGAGGCCTCTGAGCCCCACACCTGAGCGCTTGGCCCCGGCCACGTGGACCCGTGGTGCAGCAGCCGGCCGAAGAAGCTGCTTCCCGCTGCCTCCTTCCCATGCCTCTCCTGGCCTGCTGAGAGCGAGGAGCGGAGGTGGTCAGGACCATGGCGGAGCTCAGTCTCTCTGGATTGCTCCTCAGTCAGTGGAGCCGAGCGCATCGGGGCCAGCCGAACCGTCCGCGCCGGGACCTGCGTGACCCTTGCATCACCTGTGTGGCCCGAGCGGCGTGGGAGAAGATGGGAGCTGTAGCGCCACGGGCATCGACGCTGCAGAGGCGGAACTGGGCCTTAGTGAGGTCACTGACCTCTGAAGGGTGTTTTAAATCAAGGATTGGTTCTAGTCCCTGGTGGAGACCGGAGGTGGAAAGGGGGCACCGTTCTATTTTCCAATGGATAGGCCTGGGCTCAATTTTGAAAGTAGTGTTTTGGGGGAGGGAGAGTTGTTTTTATTCCACTTTAAAAGTTTTCCCAAAGAAACATTGGCTTTCCCTTTGATTTCTTCGGCAACCGAGTTTGGTATATTTCCTTTTTTTATCTCCATGCGTGATTTCAGTTCGTGAATGAACAGATATTGGGGGTTTGGTTTTGTTTTTCTTCTCCTCTGAGCCATAGCTAAATTATTATGATGATTGTTGTTGTTATACCCAGTGCTTTTATATCAGGCAAGCATCACTTTGGCATATGCCAATGAGGTCTAGAATCTTGACACTTTATAACCTTTTTTTAAAGAAATACAGGTAAATAAAACTTGTCTTTTTTTCCTCAAGTTCTGTGTAAAACTGTATGCCTTTTTTTAGTAGTCACTTTTTTGAGTTGTGAGAAATTTCCTGAAAAATGTACAAAGGTGAATTTTGCCTCAACTGCAACAACACAGGAAAATTTTAAAATAAAAGGCATCACTGTTTTGTATGAGACTTGGTGTGGCAGTGGATTTTTTCCCCTTTCCGCAGTATATTAATGGATGAGAGCAGGGATAATGGTGAAATTAGAATCTTTCCGTTAAACATAGCAGCATAGAAGAAGCTTTCTGTGGGATTTGAATCCAAGACTGCTGTTCCTTACAGCCTGTTCCTGGTTGCAGGAAGCTGAAAGGAGCACAATTTTCCCAGTGCAGAGAAACCAAAGCCCCAAAAGGGTCTCACAGCCATGAAGACCACGATCACCTCTTTGCTTCTCGGTTGCCTTTGCCCTTGGACCAAGACCTTCTCGGACAGAGACTTGCAGGTTGTCCTTCCAGCGTGGCACGTGGACTGGCCCAGCTGTTCTGGGCGTCTTCCTGATGGAGGGAGCACCATTGTCCACGTCAGCTGTGGCCAAGCACAGTTCAACAAGCTGCTCGGCGAGAAATGCCACGACACAGAATTCTGGAAGAAACAGGCTGAGCTCCGCAGCCAGATTACCTCGCCAAGCTGCAGGTCAACCCGTTTGTGTAAATGCTCAAAAGCAGAGTTACTGGGTGCAGGCTCAGTAGGGTGCCCATTGGTGCCTGCATGCTCACAAACACTGTCCCGATCTCTGCTTCTCTTTTTCCTTTCAAAAGTCTTGCCTGCAAAGATGCCTTGCTTCAAACTGAAATGCTGCCCTCCGGTGCCATCTTCATCTGGGATCAAAAGCACAGCACCGTGTTTCCAAAAGCGGCCCCCATTGCTAGCCTTGGGCATATGCCATACGAAAGCCTCACCACCTTGTTCCTGGGAAATGGTTCTTCCATGCTCAGCCACCCCCACCTTTCCATGCATTTTATGAATGGGCACGCGGCACACGCACGAGCATCCCTACAACAACCAGCTTGCTGAATTTGCACAACAAGACTGCAGAGCCCTGGTGCGGAAACGCAACCCTCCGTGCCTGCCCCGCACTCCGGCTTTGCTCCCGCCTGGCTTGAGCAGACGGTCCCAAAGGTTCTGCCTCAGGGTTCCCAAAGATCACACTGCCGCAAGATCTCCGGGTTGCCAGAGTGTCCACTGCTCTCCTTGCCCGGGGCATCAAGGGGAAAGGGGAAGTAAGAGCAGAGATTAGAAGGTAACTTCGACAGCAGCTTAGTGCTTTTGAAAAATGGGGCAAGCGCTGAATCTGCAGGCACGAGACCGAAATTGCTCTCAGGGTTTCGTTTGCTGCTCTTACTGGGGAGCAGCCCTGAGGTTTTGGGCTGGGAACCGAGGGCAGAATATTGTGCTGAAGGTACTGTAAACTCAGGTGGGACCTGAGCAGAGGTGACTCAGCCCTTGGAGGAAGGGAAAACGCATCTGGGGAAGCACCTGTGGGATTGCTCATCCCCACACCAAAAGGTGGTGTAGTTATGATGGTTATCCAGCTTTCTATTTCTACGCTTTGAATTTAATCCAGGCTTTGTCATGCACAAGTCAGACCCATTGCACTCAAACTAGTCATCATGACTAACTGAAGTCACGCAGGTTTCATAAGACCATGTAAGCCTTGCTGGATCAGATCGGAGGTCCATCCAGTTCACTTGGTACACCTGGTGGCAAACCGGGTGCCTGCAGATGCAAGGCCCCCCCCTGCCCAGCTCCTCAGCAACGGGTGCGTGCAGGCAGGCCACCTCTGGTGAAGGAGGGAGCCCATGGCCAGCAGGGCTAGTAGCCACTGATAGCCGCCTCCTCCTTGAAACTGCCCAACCCCCTTTTCAAGCCCTCCAGATGGGCAGCCACCACCATTTCCCATGGCAGCCAAGCCTTTGATCTCTCCTAAACTGCCCACCAATCCGTTGCAAGGGACCTGGGCTCAAGTGTTATGGGAGAGGGTGGACAATGTTCTCTACTTTCTCCACACCGTGCATTATTTCAAAACACTTCTATCACACCTCCCTTTACTCACCTTTCTTCTAAGCTAAATATTCCCAGTTGCTGTAATCATTCCTCATAGGAAAGTTGACCTACACAATTTTAGTTGGTTCCATTGAACTGCATCTGCCATTTTGGTGCTCATTCTCCCAGCTTGGAGCAATCCCTTTGGATCACCTCACAATCCCTCTAGGTTTTAACCACCCTAAATAGTGCAGCCCCTTCCCTGCTTATTCCTAAATCCAGATCCTGTATGGATAGCTTGACAAGCATTGGTCCTAATACAGAACCCCGTGGGAGCCCGCTGTTTGCGTTCCTCCGTTGGAAAAAATTACCATTTATGCTCTCTATTCTCTAACCAGTCACTGATCCATCAGAGAACCTCCCCTCTCACTCCACGACCGCTAAGTCTGAGCAGATGTCTTTGATGGAAAGACTTAGTCAAAACACACTTGGAACCCCAGGTAACCATTTGCCCAGGTCCACCTACTTATTGACACTGGCAAATTAACCCTAATAGCTTAGTGAGGCAGGACTTTGTGGGAGCCACGTTGATTCTATCTTTAATTACCCTTTCAACCAATTTACCCCAAAGCAATGTTAAGTGAACCGGCGTGTGGCTAGGTCTGGATCCAGCCCTTTGCTAGGCTAATTCTGAAGAGTCAATACATCAGAAGTAGGAGCAGAAGCCTCTTTTGGCTCCATGGGCCACATTCGCAACCGGGAGGGTGGGGTGGAGATGCCGCCCTCCCCCATTGTGTCGTCCTAAAATGCACATCAGCATGATGCCAGGACTGCAAATGTGCTTGTGCTTTTGTTCCACTTCATGCAATGCCGGTTCCAACACCTATTTTAGGGAGTTGTGACCTCCCTAGGCCTGAGTTTGCTTTGCTGCTGGCAACTCTTGATCTCCCAGGTGAGCGCACCCACCTGGTTTGTAACCACAGCAGAGTCCTGGAATGTGGACAGGCCTGGTCAAAATCTCCAGCAGTGTCTTGGCTCGCTGTTTCATTTGTTAAGCTGTGTGTGCACACTTTACTTAAGAAGTGGCGTGATTCACGTTCGTGCAAAATTCCCCTCTTGCATTTTGACAAAGCTTTTGAAAAAATAAGCTGCCAGGGGTTTGCTTGCTTTTTTTTTTTTTTTTTTGCTGAGTAATAAAACCCTCTTTATCGCATGCTCACACAATGCGAGTTCCATGACAAGATAAGGCAAATTCCTCGGCAGGAGTCATGCCATAATTCCCTGTGTTCGCATCACGTTAACATGCCTCTTTCCTAAACTTCACCTGCCAGATTACAGAGTTTTGGCCGTTGGCTTCTCTGGATGCCTTGCTCTTGCAATAATGCACACCCCCCCACGCCCCGAACTCCCCATTAAAGTCTCTTGACTTAGGATGAATCACTTCTAAATTTGCATGCTGTTCCTTGCATCATGAAAACCAGGAAGGTTGAGCCAGGAC